CCCCCCCAAACTTCCAAAATCCAAAAACTGTAGAGCCCAGGACCTGACCATAGCCACTCTGGTGACCTAGGTCAGTGCCGTTTTGGAACTTTGGGGCTTCGGCCCGCCAAAGTTCCAAAGTTCCAAAACTGCAGACCTGACCATAGCCACTCTGACTCTCCCACTCTCACTCTCACTCTCCCTCTGGCTCTCACTCTCACGCACACTCACACTCACACTCACTGACTCACCACCACCGCCACCGCTACCACGATCCCCACCTTCATCACCACGATCACCTCTCTGGACCCCGATTCGTCTAGATCTCTAGACTTTCTGCTTAGTTTATAGTTCAAATTATTTTTTAATTAGCTTTTAGTTTCCGCTAGTTTAAATCTTATGCAATATTTCAGGTTCAGTTGTCTACAAATCTATATAGTTTAATTCTGTTTTCCAAATTAATTTTGATTACTTCTAATTCAATTTTAATTCGTTTCTAGTTCAACGCAAAGCTGGCTCTAATTTAATGCAAATTGAATTCTCATTTGAACCGGGTTTTATTCTAGAGAGATGGTTTTCCTGGGGGGGTGATGTTAAGAGTACAACCTTTAAGACAGCAACACATAAATTGTATGCAAAGCTTTGATATTAAAAGCACCACGCACTCTCTAGAAGCCATTTTTAATTTACATGATAACCCACCTGGTTAAAAATTTGATTAGATTTTACGCTTGAAGCAATGTAAATAATTCAAAAAATAGTTCAACTAAAATTGAAAAAACATATATCAAAGCTTTTTGAGATCAAATGAGAACAAACTATGAACAAACTATAAAAAGCACGTCATTACCCCTACTGTTGCAACAATTACCTACAGCAACAAAAACAAACTAGCTTCATTTTAAGCATCCTTGATTAAACAAAAGATTAAAGCCACTCTGGGAACCTAGGTCTGTGCAGTTTTTGAACTTTGGAATTTTGGTCTACCCCAAAGTTCCAAAGTTCCAAAACTGCAGACCCCATGACCTGACCATAGCCACTCTGGTGACCTAGGTCTGTGCAGTTATCGCACTTTGCCCCTTCAAGTTTCAAAGTTCCAAAATTCCAGAACTGCAAACCCCATGACCTGACCATAGCCACTCTGGGGGACCTAGGCCTGCGCAGTCTTCGAACGTTGGAACTTTAGCCCCTCCAAAGTTCTAAAGTTCCAACGTTCCAAAATTGCAGACCCAATGACCTGACCATAGCCACTCTGGGGACCTAGGTCTGTGCAGCTTTGGAACTTTGGAACTTTGCTACTTTGGTAGTCGAGATAATTTAAAAGCATGTTGGTTTTGGGGGGGGGCTAGCATATATATATATATATATACATATATACACACACATGCATTCACACCTACACCGTAGCCATTTTGGCTCAAGCAGTTGAAAGAGCTTCAGGTGAAGATCGAAGAGGCACAGAAGGAGCTTCTGAAACATACAGAGTCCTACAACCTCCAGCTTGAGAAGGAGAAAAAGCTGGCTGAAACGGAGATTGAAGATGGTGATTTGACAGAAGAGAAGCTGAATGGCATTTTCCATAGCATAGGCCTGACGCCCTATGAGGATCAGATCAGAGCCTTTTCCAAACAGCTTGCAGAATCGGCTGCGAAAAGGAGGAAGTGTGGGTAACCAACATTTTCTGCTAGAAGAGGGGTTTGCTTCCATGGTTGAAGCTGAAGGGAAGAGTTCAAGCAGTCAAGCTTTTTGCAAGTTTTCTGACATCAAGGGGAGATTGATGTGAGCAGAGCTTGCAGTGTGGATATGGGCTCAGACCATGCAGTAGCTGCGCCAGCCGGTGATGGGGCACGGGCTATGGCAACTGAAAGCTGCGCTGGACCAGTTTTTGTGGAGCCTTTGGGG